TCTCTCTCTCTCTCTCTCTCTCTCTCTCTCTCTCTCTCTCTCTCACAGGGGTATGCTTATTTTACGAACGCGAACACCGACGATGCTACCTTTGGCGCGCACTTCCTCCTTTATATAATAGGATTACGAGGTGAGATTGCGAGAGGAGTATCGAGTCCGTCGTATAGAGACCAAGCGCGGCAACCCGAGTTCACATACCGAGGATCGGGGAACGGCGAAGCTCTCTCAATTTTCCAGGAAGGACACGAATTGCGTGAGCTTCTGCAGCTGGTCCTCCGTCAGGCAGATCTTGTCCGATTCATCGTACTGTTCCTCGTCGATCTGTTTGCGCGGTTGCACTATGGTGCCGTCTACGTTCCAGCCTCTGTCGATGGCGGCTTGTCGCGCCTCGTCCAACGACATACCGCTCATCGTCGCCATGGTCGCCAGGTTCAGGGAGGAGTACGCCTTCGATATCAGCCTCATCACTCGTTCTCGTACATTGTCTGCAAAAATCGGGGTGGTCCAAAATCGGGCGGATGATTCCGTTTAGCGCAGCGCGGAACTCCTCTCGCTTTTAATAAAGAACGAGAAGTTCGAGTAAAGAGTGACTCCAACTGTGCTGGGCAGATTCCGCTTGAATAATCGATTATCGGCTGGCGTTTGTAAGCGATAATTATGTAGACGGTGGGTTTAATAACAATTGATTGTCGTTAATTATAATAAGGTAACATATTTAGTCCTTGCGCGTCTACAGATGTAGGGCGCTAAATAAGGAAAGCAATTTGCCACAGTTAACACAAAATTAACCCGCGTATAATATTCATTTAAATGCCAAATATTCTCTCATATATGCTCGATAAATGATCATTAATAACTAACAATAAAATATATACATATTGTACATATACAAACGGCAATATGGCACAATTATTTGAAAGAAAATATTGGATCTGCATTCAACGATTTAAAAAATTTTATTATTATTATTACAACCGATAATCCCTGAAGGCCCGTTCGCGACCTATACGTACGAATAACTTCTTATAGATATCTTCTTGCTTATACAAGAAAATACCAATATCTCTTTGTACAAGAGAAACATAAAAAAATAATTCAGTGACGGACGGTTGTTAATTACCACTAATTCTGTCCAAGCGAACGAAACGTTTGTTTTATTAGCCTTAAGTGGCCTAAGTTTATCGCTTTGCCTTATTGACCTACCTTTGAGGACTGTCATAACGTCTTTGATGTCTTCACTCCATTCCACGTTTAGGGCCGCGTGGACCGCGGGCCAGTTGCGTTGCCACATGGATTGCCCTACCGTCCATACCCGTCCGAGCTCTTCGTGGGCGGTCTTCATGTCCGGAGGGATTCGCTTCCAGAGGTACTTCGCGTTGCACCTACGACCACCGGTTGTTCGTTCAAGCGGACCAACGGATAAGGCTGGAGCTACGCTATGCGCGTTTTCGCGAATCGGATTCGCGAATCGTTCATTTGTATACCATTCGTCCTAAGCACAATGGTATACAAATGCACGATTCGTGAATCCGATTCGCGAAAACGCGCATAGTGTAGCCCCAGCCTAAGGAGAATCGATCGCAATCCTGAACGCGATGCATCGTGCAAAAATAAGGTCGACTCGGTGAACGAGTCGCTACTTCAGTGAAATATTTTACACGACGTTCGTGTTCTTGATGCGAAACGTTCGTTAATAAACTTAGCGCCGCGAGAAACAGGGAAATAGAGACTCTCAGAGTCTTTTAATCGAGATGATTCTTGAATAACTATACAAAAATGAAAGCAACGCGAAGGAATAAGACATAACTCGCTCGTAGATAAAACTTGTGGGTCTTAAGGTCTCCAAAAATTTAATATGTGTAAAAGGAAAATCCGACTATGTGGTAACAAATAAGATATAAAGAAAAATTGCACTATTTTCAATAAAATTGAATATATTCTTGAAATTTGAGATAGTAAGGGAAGCTAAAGCTCTTAAACATGTATGTCAGAAAAAAATTAAAAAATATGTATTTTTTTTAGCGATTACTGCGCGATTAAACACTTGTATTACAAAAGAATTATAGTCTAGTTATAATTATAAATTAGATTCATTACAGACAAATCTTTCTCTTTAAACTTATAAAAATTCACTGCAACTATTTAAATAGTATTGCATAAATTGGACAAATTGTAAGCCTTATTACTCTCTTGAAAAAACCACTTATCCTATATTAATACAGTTGATACAATCAGTGGTTTATAGATGTTAATCCAATCCAACATAATATGCTTTACAATCTTTTATTTTTTATTGTATTTGATTAAAGCTTTTAATCCACCCAACCGGCCACATTTATTGAATTATTAATTAAAATCACGACGTTTTGATCATGGGTCTTTTTTAAGTGTGTATAAAAATCATATAATCAGTAATATAGTAGGCTAATAAAAATCTTGATCAATATGACACTATGCCCAAACTACGATATAAGTTTAAAAGATTGTATGTCACATAGAGGTAAAATTAATACGTGTGTAACAATACTATATAAATCCTAAATAAATTAAGGATGAGATTCATATTAACCTTCCTATATCCGCGCATTGGTCTGTCAGACCGACAATATACGTTTGCCTTGTTTTTTTTTAAATGGAAAACAAGGCAAACGTATATCGTCGGTCTGACAGACTAATGCGCGAGTATAGGAAGATTAAAAAGCACGTCAGAATCACATGACAGTTAAAAGTTAGACTAACTAAAATGGACAAACATTGATTAAACTATTACTACATAGATATTCAATATTTCAACGTATTCGAGAACTTCTCATTGTTCAAATATAGACTAGATGCTATAAAGACCTTACGCCTTATGCATTTAAATCCTATCTAGCTTGATTTGTTAATAAGACAATTGATAAAATGTCTAATTGAGAAATGACGGTATAATATCCTCAATAAGAGATAAATCAAACGAATAACAATGAAACAATGAAAAGGTTTTTACTTACAGATCATTCTGATGGAGGTAGACAGCCAGCAGTCGCATATAGGCTTGTGCGGTTATAACTCCAGTCGGAGCCTGAAACAGCAGAATGCGGGTAAGTAATTAGAAACCCTCCCCACACACCAGTGACATTCGATCTAAAGCATATTTTACTGGGCTCGGACGCGTAGAAAGAGCCGACCGAGCCGACGACGACCGACATAACCTACAAAGCGTTCTCGCTCGCGCGGACTCGAGACTCACCTCCAGTTCGCTTATTTCCAACTCGTTCATCAACTTGTTGAGTTCAACCGTGCAATTGGGCACCATGGTGATAATTCTACTGACTATTCCGACGGTAACGACGACACGAAGGCCCAAAAACACGCCGACATGGAAACCGCAAGCGAGGTAAACGAAACGCGATGACGCGACGCGACGCGACACAAACAGCTGAGCCCAACGCGGCCCGCGGCCGCGGCGACGATCGAAATAAGCTCGGAAAAGTTAGCGGAATAGCAGGCGTCATCTACCGTCCGCATGCTGCAAACAACTGGTCCCTCATTATATACCGATCGCGGATTAACAAATAGACTACAGAGAACTTCCTTATCGATAATGATAAAGTTATCTCCCTCTGGTTAAAAAATTTCTTATATTTTTTGTCAAAAATTAATTTTGTAAGAATTGGGATTTATATATGAAAAATTCTGAAAAAATATATAAAATTTTTCAGACACTTTTGGAAATAATTGAATGAAGATTTTCGGAATATTTCGGTATCGAGTACGCGTTCTAAAACTCATCGAGGAAGAGATGTCCAGCCCAGCCTCTCGTGGAGTCTTGGCGAGGGTACTGTCTCCCCGGTCTCCGCCTCTCCCCCGTCTGCTCCCCACGTCTGCCCCTGCTCCATCTCGTCCCCTGTCACTCTCTCATTGTGGCAATATACAGTAGAGAAGTAACATCCTGTGTTTCGAGGCACTATAGTTAGATGGCAAGGTAGAACGTAGCAATAATAATTCCCTCTCGCACTGACGAAGTATGTGTCGAGATGTAATTGCCGTGAATAATCCTCGAAGGTGCTAAAGTGTCCTGAATAAAATGACAATGACATGGAAGCGGATTGAGGAACATTCCGGAATAGGTGAGGAGTAGTTGGCGTATACGAGATTGAATAACCCCAACATCCTGGGAGGTGCCCCCCGAGTTCAGATAAATTCTCGTCTCGCATCGTCCGACGCGGTCGTGCGGGCTGCGTACGCGCCCTCCACTCCTCGGCAGGCCTCGCGCCCCTGCATGACATTTGCGCGCATATCAAATATTATTTACATAACGGTATATTATTCGAGCGATGTTAAATGTCAAACTGTCCGGAAAATACCTGCGATCTTCTATTTTTCGTTGTTGATTTAGGAAAGGATCCTTCGTTGACGTTGGAAAACCAACGTTAATTGTTTCAGACCTTGTTTTTAACCATGTCAATGAATAGATTGTTGATTGAAACGCATGTTGATTACTTGTTCGAGGAAAAAAAACACTGTACATGCAACATTATACATACATCTACATTTAGATGATACATACATCTACGTACACTTTGCTCCTGTAAACTTTGCGTAGAATTTATTATGTATAGTGTTTGAAAGTTTAGAAATACAAATTTTACATTATTGTGATTATTTTTAAATTGTGACGTAAGATAAAGTAGATAAAATGTCTGATTTTGTTAGTTGGCATGCAAACTCCAAACTCCAAAAAATTATAAACTAATTGAAATTAAAATAAAGAGTACGAATATTCCACGATAAACAAAGTATTCCGTGCATAACACCATGAAAAACACCAAAATCAGACACACGTCCTATATTTATTTTCATATTTTACTTCACTTTATTCAGCCATCCATAATTTTGCACATCCAATTCCGCACGCAATATGCTTAACGGTCGGAGAGGTTGTACAAATAACTGCGGAATGTGCAGATTGGTATTATGGCCGCAGCAAGTTTAAGGGTACATGGGGAATTTTTCCAAAATCCTACATACATATCCTGCAGAAATCTGCGAATACGGATAACTTAGTGCAGGAGATTACTAACGTCTTGCGAGAATGGGGGCATCATTGGAAACATTTGTATGTGGTGCGTATAAAGTGTCTCGTCGTAGACAATTCCCATTCATTTCTGGAAATAGGGAGAGTATTATGTTATGTCTAACTTGATAATTCTGTATATATAGACACACTCCGAGCACTTCGAAACAATGCAGCAACAGATTCTGGATGCGATCGGATACAGAAGCAAGATTTTAAGCGGGACTTTAACGGTAGACGAGTTGAAGGACATGAAGAGATTGGCGACAGCAAAGATAGGCACTGGGAATCAACTGTTGGGCTTGGACATGGTGGTTCGAGACGAGCACGGAAATATTCTGAATCCCCTGGAGACAAGCACTATCCAATTGTATTACCATCACGAGACTGCTGCAGAAAGGATAAGAAAAGCGTGCAATGATACCAAGAAGAAGCCCTACAAGCCACAAGTACCTGTATATTCACATATCTTCTTCGTTAGTGTGAGAAATTTTGTATGTAAAATGGCAGAGGACGTAGAGCTGCTGTTGACTTTGTACGACGGCAGAGAGATGAAAGCTATCACGGAGAACTACGTGGTATCGTGGAGCAAAGAGGGACTCGCGAGGGACATTGATCAGCTGCACAATCTTAGAGTATTGTTCACGGATCTTGGTTCCAGAGATTTAATGAGGGACAAAGTTTATTTAGCCTGTTACGTAATTAGAATAGGCGGTATGGAAGCCAAAGAACCGGACCACCGTCGCTCGAGTGTTACACAAGCTAATCAAACCAAATCTAAGGGCGCGGAAAGTATGAGGCGACCGTTCGGTGTAGCCGCTATGGATATTACCTTATTCATTACCGGCAAGCTTGAAGGTGATGTTGAGCAACATCATTTTATACCTTTTATACAGTAAGTACGTGTTTAGAATGGATATTTTCGGCTTTATGACGTTTAATAGTACGACATTCGTGATTAAAGCATCAAGGAGGAGCATTATGATGGCTCTTACAAAATTGAAGTAGACTTGTTTTTGTCGGTTTCCTGTCTTTGTTTCAGATGTTGTGAGAAAGACAGTCTTGATGGCACATTACGTAGAATTATCGCGCAGAAAGAAACAAATATCCAGAAACACGTTAACGGCAATATTGCCAATGTCACAGGTGGACAAGGATTGTGGACTAGCTTAAAATTGCTGAGGGGTGATCCGAAACAAGTGAGTCTTAAAATGAAATTATTCTATAAAGTTATTCTATAATTGCTATAAATAGTGAATTATATTCTGAAATTATTTTGAATATTTACGAAAAGGTACGTGATGAAAATCCACATTTGGTGCTTGGTAATGTTGCCATCGCGCGTAAAATGGGATTCCCAGAAGTTATTTTGCCGGGTGACGTACGTAATGATTTGTATCTGACGTTAATTAGCGGTGAATTCAGCAAAGGCTCCAAATCTACGGACAAAAATGTAGAAGTAACGGTGAGTAAGAATAGAAATTTTCAAAAATTTGTACTTTACATATTCTTAGAAATATACGTACATGAATACTTATAATTTTTAACAGGTCAAAGTATGTAATGAACATGGTATAGCGATCCCCGGAGTTATGACATTAGGTGGCGGCGCGTCTCCAATTGACGAGTATCGTAGCGTAATTTATTATCACGAAGACAAGCCTAGATGGTGCGAAACATTTAAGATCGCCATACCTATAGAAGAATTTAAGCAGGCCCACTTAAAGTTTACGTTTAAGCATCGCAGTTCTAATGAAGCGAAAGATAAGTCTGAAAAGCCATTTGCTTTAAGTTACGTTCGATTAATGCAACGCAACGGCACGACTCTACAAGACATACAACACGAATTGTTGGTTTACAAGTTGGAGCAGAAGAAATACGACGAGAGCGATATATCCTACTTTAAATTGCCATCCACTCGTGGAGAATTGGTATACTTATTTATTTAATGAAGAGATAAAAAAATTTAATTTTTTAAAAAGATTATGCATTTTATTTTAATTTTTCTTTATGTTTGTGTTTTAGGCTGAATTAAACATGGAGAAAAAGCCAAGTTTAGGATCGCTAACATTAAGCAGTAAGGATAGTTTTTTGATAGCGACCAATATTTGCTCAACTAAATTAACCCAGAATGTAGACTTATTAGGTTTACTTAATTGGGCATCGCACAATACGGACTTAAAAGAATCTTTAGCTGCTTTAATGAAAGTTGACGGGGAGGAAATAGTGAAGTTTCTGCAGGTAAAATAAATCTGATTTAACGAAAATTAAGATTACGTACATAATAAAAAGTAATATTTCTATAAGGGAAAATTATATTAAAATTATTACGTTCCAGGATGTTTTGGATGCTTTATTTAATATCTTAATGAGTAATTCAGACAGTGATGTCTACGATGACATGGTCTTTGAGTGCCTTTTATATATTATCGGACTCGTATCCGATAGAAAGTACCAGCACTTCCAACCAGTATTAGATTTATATATTTCTGAGAGCTTCTCTGCAACTCTTGCATATAAGAAATTAATTGCGGTATTACGCAAGCGTATAGATAACGTCAACAACGGCGATGGACAGGAACGAGATTTATTGCTTAAGACAATGAAAAGTCTGCAATACTGCATGAGATTTATTGTCGAATCTCGTCTTTTATTTACTGAGTACGTTTTATTTTTCATTACAATTCTTTTCTCATACATTATATAATCGTTAATAAAACGTTTTATAAAATTGTCTAAATACGACAATATAATAAATATGGCTGTGAATATCTGTTCCAAAAAAAGAAGTATGCATGATTTTTAATGGACATTCGTAATTTATTTTTAAAGGTTAAATCAGGATGAAGAAGAATTCTCACAAACCTTAACTGATCTATTACGGTCTATCGTTAATCTCATGAGTCATGAAACAGATGGTACTCTGTTGGTTCAAGGCGCCTGTCTCAAGTACCTACCAACGACGATACCTCATTTATTAAGAGTTTATAGCGGCAAGCAATTAAGCACAATTTTAACAGATTTACTCGTGACTCTACCAACGGGTAGATTAACTAAACAAAAAATGATGACGGTAAATGACATCGTCCACAGTCCGCTTTTTTTAAATGTGGACTGTAGAGCGATTTTATTACCAAGAATTACTATACTTGTGAGAGACTTATTGGAGTCCAAGGAGGAGGTAAGACGTTAGCATAAAGTATGCTATTTTCTAATGCTATTCCCTAACTTACAGTTTATACGAAATGGAATGTTCATTACTTAACCATATCTCACAACAAATAATATCAGTTCATACATTTATTCTCGCAATACTTCATGATGAATCCTAATTACATCTGCATATAACTGCATATCAAATTTGATCATAT